TTTTAATATACTTGAGTGCAGAGGCGAGCCCATCTGTATGGGAGTGGGAAGGAGAGAGAAGATGAGAGAAAGTAGGTCAAAGACTCATGTAGGACACTGTCACCGTGCGTGGGAGGATACACAGTGACACATTCAGCAGCATGCTAACCCAGGATTCACCCAGTGAGAGGAGGGGTGGAGGGGCTGAATCACACTATTCCTATTCCCTTTCCATCATAAAACACAATTTTATCCCCACCTCCATGCCATTAAACTTAGATATTTCTCTTTATTATCTTTTAAAATCCCGCTCTTCTCCTGGAATAGTTTACAATCTCTTTAGAGGCATATTTCTGAGAAACTACAGAAATATTTTGGTCATAAAGCGCTCAGTATTGTGAGTTATGAACACAAAGGGCCAAGGCATAGCCACAAATCATGTAGCCGTGGATTCTTTCTATAAAAAAAAGACACAGATTGGAATAAATGAAGCATGCTTTTTGAGTATTTCATCTGTCAGTTATACAGCTGAAGCTTCGTCCCACATATGCTTTGTGTACACAGCGGCTGCAGTGTTGCCCGCAAGCAGCAGCCAGATGTCACAGAAAGTTACCGCTTTGGGATACAGAAAGAGACATTTTGGGGGATGGAGATAGTTTTAGAAGATCAAATTTGAGAAATTTGTGGAGTTGTTTTTTTTTTTTTTGGGTCGATGACGGTTTACTGATGATAGAAAACAAGTGGACAGAGAGACAGCCGTTGACAGACGCGGGTGATGCAGGTGAAGGCTGTGTGGGGACGGCAGCTGGAGCCAAATACACACACGGATTTTTCGCAGGGCCTCATTTCCTTCACTGCTTGTCTTAGTCGAAAGGGTCGTGGTGACTTGGAGCAAATGTCACCTGGCTGTAGCAAACAAAAACCTTCAGCATGCAAACACGATCTCTTTGGACACGTCTGTGCCCTTGATTTTTGGTCAAGTTCGCTTTTTGTTCATATATTAGATCACTTGACGTGGTGCGTTTCGACTCATGAGTTGAAAAGTAAAAAGAAAGCAAACAAATTGTCAGCACCTTTACTTGCAGGGACGCATTCACACACACACACACACAGTCACACGCTCGCTCTTCGGCCAACAGTGATGTCACATCTATGATTGGAATGCAGGCCAACAGCTGATAAGGTCAGTTAGTCACGAGTTAGTCAAGAGACTGAAAGCCAAGTCACAGTCTGCTGTCGAGTCAAACTCTACAAATATAAATAATTAAAACTGCAGCCGAGTTGACCCAAAGATGTGTGACGACTTACTCAGCGGTTATGTCATTCCTTCTGCAGTAGATGGGGTTACAATGGCTCAGGGTACATTTTGACAAGATATTGTAATTTAGTTTTAGTCTTAGTCTTTTGACTAAGATTCTTTTGAATTTTAGTCCCAATTTAATCATCCAATTTGTTTTAATTTTTGTTGACTAAAATATGTGTATTTTTCTTCTGATGCAATAATTTTCATATTATGTAAAGGAAATGTTAACCACACCTACTTGAAACTGTAAGGAAATATGTAAATGGTTAATGACATGTACTTGATATAGCACCTTCTAAAGTCCTGGAACCCCTCAAGCACTTTACTACACAGTCGGTCATTCACACCCCCCAACACCACCAACAGGCAAGGTGGGTTAAGCGTCTTGCCCAAGGACAAAACGACAGCGACATACTGACCCTAACCCTAACCCAGGAGGCGTAGAGGATCACCCCAGGAGGCCGAATACTCCAGGGAAGGCCAAGATTGGAACTCGGTGGCCTGGGACCCAAGGGCGCCCAAGTGGAGACCAGAGGGTGTTCCAGTTTGAAGTAAAACCACAGCATCGCAACAAAGCAACTCCAAAACCTTCATTTTATTTTGAGCCATTTAGAACTGGACTCCCTGGTGTGCTTTGCATTGTTATCCTGGTGTGACAGCCCACTGGCCAGACATTTTCCTTCAGTTTTTTTTTCTAGAGTCATATTCATGGTAACTTTAATTACAACATTACATCCAGGTCTTAAAGCAGCACCTAATCTTCACACTGCCACCTCCGTGTTTGATGGTTCACGTGATGTTTAATTTTTAAAAATGGTGCATTCAAATGTGAAAAGAAAAAACAAAAACTCAGCATTTCAACAGTATCAAAGCCTTGATATTTTGTTATGACGTGTAACTTTGGTGATGCCACAGGTTTATCATTGAGTCTTACCCAGACACCTTTGAACACTAGAGGAGGCCCTGTTGTCAGCCAAGCTTCAGTTTCCATTTTGAAGCGCGTCTACACAAACAAAATACAGCTTTGTTAGACTGTTCCTGGACCCGAGGTGCAATAGACAAACAGCAAATTATGCAGTTTCATAAAATGACCTAAAATGTATTTTCCAGGTAGCAGATTTCAGTTTAATTTATGGTTTTTATTTATTTGAATCTTTTTGTCATTTAGATTTGAATAATCTTTTATTGTTGCTTTTAGTCTTTGGAGCTTGTTTTATTGTACTTTTACTCTGTGCAGCACTTTGGGGCAACAGTTGTTGCCATTTAAAGGTGCTATAGAAATAAAATTTGACTTGACTTATTTTTTGACATTCCAAATTTAATTTAACAACATTTTCAGTTGAAGACACCAACGTTTATTTGTTGCCCGAATTGCTTTGGTTGTCATCAGCCCTGCCGTGCTTGTTTGTTGTAGCTCAGTAAAATTTGGCTTCACACAGAAAACCAACACTCAGCTGCAGAGGAGTAGCTGCTGTAGGGAACACGAATGTTTATCGTATTATGCATAGTGGAGTGTTTATGTGTAAAACGCATTCAACCGTGTAGGTGAATCCCATGTCTAGGTGGACTCTCTAATGAGGATAGAGATTTGCACCCAGCCGTTCCTTTTTACTCTCTTGTTGATTCTGCTTGTTTTTCATTGCTTCCGTTTTCAAATGAGGACAAATGATCAATATTATGTCTTTGCCAAATAAGAAAATGACCTAGAAAAATTAATCTTATGGTTTCATTTGACAAAAACAAAAAGCAAATCACCATCTTCTATATCCATCTGTTTTTTTTTTTTTGTAGTGAATTGCTAAAAAGCAATAAAGGGTAACAAAGGGACATCAAACCGTATGTAAAATCAGACTAAAGACACCATGTCACCATCTTATAAAGGGTGAATGACTGGGCTGATTACAAATGGTTTTTTTCTCACTTATCTCTGGGAAAAATGACAAAATACAGACAAAATTTCTAATTTGGGTGGAATATTCCTTTAAGAGGATATTTTAATTGTTTTGTAGGTGAACCAGCTCTAGACCTTTGGAGAGTCTGATTCTACTCACCATGTGTGATCGTTTCTATGTCGACACCGTTGTGTTGCTTCTTATTACATCCAAATAGGTCTATTTTTAGGGCTCTTAAAAACAAAAGCAAAATGAGAAAGCAGCAGGGGTGACAGGCCACCTGCCATGTCCCCTCACTTTACAAGCGTCTGATCTCCTGAAAATATCACAAAGAACTCCATCCAACTGCTGGCCAGCATGTATGATCTATACCTGTTCTCTAATACTCCTGATGTACCCAAAGACGGTAATACTTTCCAATATGGGTTCATTTATTAGCGTTGCTTAGTGCATTAATAAGTTATTAAATAAAGTATTAACCACTCTAATATTAATGTTTATATTAAGTAATGCATTACTAAGCAGACACCTGCCAGGGTTTGTCTTAACCTTAAAGATACCTCTGGAGCATTAATAAAGTGATCATTTGCTTATTAATGCTGAATAATGCACTAAGTAACTTAATAAAGGGACCCCTATTGTAAAGTGTTACCCCCAAAAACTGTTGTTTGGTTGTTTTTCATTCAATCAAATAATGCTTTCAAAGAATTAATCTAAATGCCAGTATTTAGTGTTTTGAAGGATATGCTTTAAGGCCGAATCACATTACAAACTTCTGACAGTAATGTCAGTCCAATAATTAACAGAAAGCAAGAGCTGACCTCAACACTCTGAATGTCTGAGACTAGGCAGCAGTAGCTCAGGTGGTAGAGCGGGTTGCCTCATGATCGGAGGGTCATGGGTTCGATTCCAGCTCCCGCCAGGGGTATCCTGCTGTTGTGTCCGTGGGCAAGACACTTCACCCAGCTTGCCTGTGTTAGTGGTGGTCAGAGAGGCCGACGGCGCCAAATGGCAGCCTCGCCTCTGTCAGACCTCCCCAGGGCAGCTGTGGCTACAAGTAGCTTACCATCACTGGCAGTGTGTGAATGTGAGAGTGTGTGAAAGCGTCTTTGGGTGTCTAGAAAAGCGCTCTATAAGTCCAATGCATTATTATTATTAAAATGAAGGCAGGAGGATGAGCAAAAGGAGATGGTTGTTGGTGACTGGGGAAGATGTTGTTCAGAGCGGCGGTCATTCTGACAGATATTTATTGTGGATCCACTTTGGTCATGGGAATGCTGAATTGGCTGATCACAGATTCAAGCTCACAATGAAAGATCTTGCACACATATTGTATTTTTGAGAGATTTTGAGCCAATACAAGGTACACCTCAATTCTGTCATATTTTGACATTTTGAGTGAAAGAAAAATTCACTGAATGATTTCATGTATAAAATGTGCATGGTATGTAAAAAGAGTTAAAACCATTACCAATAATTCCTGAGGTTTTATTTGAATGCCAATGTTGGACGATGATGATGGTGGACCGATAATATCGGACACCTCTACAGATGCTCGATTAAAGTGGGAAAATCTTCATGAAGTGAATTGTGATTAACTAACAATGAAGGTGTGTGTTTTCTCTGCTTTGGGCTTTATTGTACCAAAACCCAAAGAATGTAAAACCAAACTGCTGTGTGTGATGACTTGGTGCCTCCTTGGAGCTGCTCTGAATTAGCCTTTTGCATAATGGCAGTGTGCACCCCCGGTTTTCAAGTCTTTTGTGTCCTTTTGCTTACCTGGCATCTTAAATGACACTTTTCTCTTCTGTTTGTCTTTTTTACAGTGTGGCAAAGGAGCAGAGAACTTTGACAAGTTCTTCACACGTACCCAGCCCCAGCTCACGCCACCCGATGAGCTGGTCATAGCCAACATCGACCAGGCAGAGTTTGCTGGATTTTCTTTCATCAACCCTCAGTTTCGACACCCATCGCAAGTCAACAGTGAATGAGAAGGGTTAGGGTTAAAGCTGATGAAGAAGCTCCTTGTTCACTGCCACCCATTTAAACCATCAAACAAATGACCAGACCATCAATTCCCACAAAGGATCCTAATGTATTGGTGTAGTTCCACAACAGGAGTCAAGGGCATGCATATTTGCTTTGTACAATAGTTGTTGCAGTGTAGATTATGGACTGGATAGATTTGTCAAGTGCAACAAAAAACTATTTTTAGGCTTGTGTCTTACTGGGCTGTGACTGTTGGTGACTATCTGGATACTTTCCCATATGTCAAAACTAAGAAGAAATTGCTACAAGATGTGTAGTCGCTATTTAGTCACCAAGTGTCTTAATCATGTCCTAATTTTCCCTAAATGTCAGATTCTAGTCATTTGTCTCTAATCAAAACTTACTCTCCCACAAAATTTTTCACTTTCTAACTAACTCACAGAAAGGACATCACAAAGTTTTGTTTCCTTTTTAGGAGTTCTGGGAAATTTTTGGGAGGTGACAGGGAAAATCCACTGGCTCTGTTCTCTTAGCCGTCTCCACACAAAAGTGACCCGACTTTGCTAAGACGTCAGTATGTCGTTACCATTTCAGCAGTGAGTAATGTCACAGACCAGTGCCAAAACACATTCATGGACAATAATAACATTGAAGATGTTTGAGTCTCTCACAGTGCACCATGATTTAATCCATTCAAGGGATGAGAAGTGCGGCTGTGTAACGTGGAAAGAGGCATTCAATGACCAGAAAAAAATGTTTTTAGGGTGCTCTGTAGGAAAACCCAAACCACCATGAATTATTGCATAGTGGAGGGATTTCCACTGCATTTTCGGCATTGGGAGTTTAGATTTTAAAGAGTATTTTATTTTCCTTTCATTCTGCTTATCAGCAACTTCCAATTTTACAAATGCAGGTTGTCTGGCGATGTCATTTTTTACTGAGCTACAACCAATCAGCATGAGTTAACCACAAGTCCCACCCAGCGAGTGTACCGCCATTTCTTTGTACACACCAAATTTCCAGTACTCAGTTGGTGACTTATGGGCCATTCCCATCTGTACCGGGTCGGCCCGGGCCGGGTAGCGTAGGTTGTTTACATATCTGGGCGGCCTGGTATTTTTCCGGGCCAACCAAGGCTCATTCTCAGCCCTCTTCTCGAGGGGGTCTGCTTCAGGTCGACCAGGACCAACACACCCACTGCTGACAGCAAATTCACACCTTCCATTAGAGCAAGCCTCTGATTGGTGGGTAGAATCAGCCCACATGGGCTTAAGGCAAGGATGTGGGGAATCAACCGGGCCAGGCTGGGGCCGACTGGGGCTACCCGGCCCGGGCCGACCCGGTGCAGATGGGAATGGCCCATTAAATGTCTCGGAAAGTGGTACTGTCAGACCGGCCCAGTAAACTGGAGACACGCATACCGTGAAGGTTAAGTCAACTCATTCACTGCCAGCCGTTTCCTGATCAGTAAAGCCCTTTCCTGCCAGCGTTTTTCAATGCTTTTACTGGGTTTTTTTAGGAGTCACAGAACGTTGCGCTCTATGATGAAGTCAACGCCAAAACTAACAAAACAAAGAGGAGACTCGCCTTTTACATCAGGAAGAATCCGCGTGTTTTGAGCGTTATCTGTTCTTTCATAATCCGTTGTCGAATTGGGATCGGCAGATCCTTTTCTGGTTTGCGCCTTGCTTTTTTTACATTAGCGGCCCAAAACGATCTCCTAACGCATGGATTTTCTGCTTCCTGATCAAGTGACGTGTGACGTACACGGATGAAGATCGGCTTTGGAGCAAAATTCACTGCCAATGATAACAAAAGCCATCACTGGCAGTGAATGAGTTAAGTTAAGCCTGATTTATGCTTCTCCGTCTGCGTCAGTGCGGAGACACGCAACGCCATTATCCGTCCTTGCGTAGGGATCCGGCAGGCACGCAAGTACGTACGGAGTCGAGCCCACTTTTTTAAACATCCGTCGAACGAGACGGATTACGCAAGCTTGTGATTGGTCAGGACGCCGCTGTTGTTTACAGCGCCGCCATTGCAAAGAGAACCGAGGATAACTAGCGGCAGACACGGAGAAGCTTGAAGAATACCTCGCGAAAAAACTCTAAAAATATCATCGTTTAATTCTCCCGTGACTGCAGGAGTGAAGAGATGCGCAGCAAGCGTTTTATTTGTGGACAGAAATGACAGGAAACGTGGGTTTAGAGGTGGGGAGCGCATGAAGCGGTGGGAGAATGAGAGACAAATATGTCCGTGTTAAAAGTCTCTTATATACACAAAAACACAATATAAACACACTATCTTGGACCGATACATGACAGGATACCACAGAACAGCGCTACGCCCTCTGTTGTCCTGCCGGGAAATTGCTTTGCAACACTCTCCAGGAGACGGAGAAGTATGAAAGCAAAACGCTTCCGTCAATCCGTGCGTGTCTGTCCCCTGCGGAGCTGACGGAGTAAACCAGGCTTAAGGGCCAGAATACACTTGCTTGTTAAAGACACGTACGCATGTTTAAAATTCCTCGCATAACTTGAGTTGATTTAAAGAGTTGTTTGTGCGCTTCCCCCCAAATTTACACAAATTAATGAGATGCGTTCGCAGTCTTTAATATACAAATAACCAAGATCCGGGCTGTCTTTTTTCTGCTGTTATCTCAAAATTAACCAGCAACTGATTTCTTCTGTTGACGCCATGTTTATTTTGGTTGTAGGCAAGGCAGCTTTATTTGTGAAGCACATTTCACACACAGAGGCAATTGTCCCCCCACAAACAAACTCTCTACCCAGTCTGAGTACCCTATTGTGCCCTCTAGCAGAACCCTCTAGTACTACATGCAGTGCGGTGCAGCAGCAAGTACAAGAACAACGACGTAGCCTGCACCAGCGCGAGGTCAAAAAAGTATATTTCAGCCCTTACACAGAAGTTCTGGTGGTGGAAACACGTCTTATATTTGGACAAAATTCTTTATTCAACGATGTTAACAAGACATTTTGAAAAGTTGCTTGTGAATGCCGTTCATAAGTCATCACCAACAGTCATATCCAGTGAGATGCTTGCTGTAGAAATGATGATCACTCCCTGTAGAAGAATGTTTCTCTGTAAGACACTGAGACAGGCTGTTTTAAACCTGTGCCAGTATAGGTTTTAGAGAATACAATCACGTGTTTACAAATCTCAGTGGATTAAAGTGCTATGAGTAGATCTAATTGGTGAGAAGCTGTCTGTTTGTCAATAATTAAAACGCGAAAGTGTAAAAGGAACGGTAGATACTATTATTAGCCAAATATTGAGGGCAGGTGGTGCAGGTGTTGAAACGGCACTTTGTGATTCAATGTTTCCTGTATCATGTTTACAGTTTTCTTCTTGTTTATTTTATTTTATTTTATTGTATGGTGATGGTATACAACCTTAGAAAATTATTTTTTAGACTACAGTCTGAATAAACAGGTAATTATTTGCATCCTGTATCAAAATAACTGAGATATTTAGATGTGAATGGCTTTGATTATGGCATAAAAATGTTAAGTGTTAAATCTAATAATCCAAACATTTTACTCAGAAAATGGCACTTCCATAACGGAGAGAACCCATCAGTCAGTTTTAGTACCCAGTTAATCATCATTTAGTATTTACTGCTGGTTCTGGCTTTATCCATGACTAGAAAGCCTCCCATTGGCCACAAATGTCTTAAAAGTAACCCATAAGGATGTTTTGTGTCATCTGGTGTTGTTGCGTATTAATCACTTAATGTTTTACTGCAATACAGTATCTGCTCCAAACACATTTGCCAGGTTTTTTTTATTCAGACACTTACTCGTGATCTTGATAATTAATTAGGAGTCATAGTTAATTTTATTCTTGTTTTCCCAGCATCATTCTGTATTATATTTAAAATGAGGTTATTTACTCTCTTTTTTTCCCTGTCTGTGATTTCATCTGAATTTTTACACTTAGATCAGATTAATAATCTAGCTTTTTAAAAACATCAACATGTAACTCCTTTGTAAATAATTGAGTTATTTAGAAAAAAAATTATAGCAAGTTGCATTTTTATACCAACACATACATGTGATTTTATTACCTTAGTTAGGAAAGCCAATATGTGTATGTCAGTTAAAAATACTGAGAGCTGCACCCAGAACAGATGTTTGTAATAATTGGTTGCCATACAGTCCAGACTGAAAACGTTTGACATATCTCTTAATCCTTGTTTAGTATTTCCTTTTAATACCAGTAACGTGGGCTGCAGTTTTGTGTTGACTGGATGCATTTGTAGGTGTTGGCTGTCCCTTTGTGTCTGCATGCTGGTTGTGGGCAACCTTCATGCATGAGACCTGGTTGATGCTGCATGCTGCGGAGTTTGAACCGATAAGGTGTACAGTGTCAGAGATTTTCAAATCAGAATTAACGTTTACAGTCTTGAAGTGCTTCCCTATTGACAGATTCACACCTATGTCACTGTAGAAAGGGGTGTCCATCCTATGTTTCAAACTGTTCCTACTTGGCAACGTCCTCATTGTCTGTCTATTGAGATTGTTTTAAACATGAACTCTTGGTAAAATGCACGTTTTGTCTCAGCACGCTCACACATCGAGTATCGGACATGAATCCTGCATGTTTGATTAATAAATCTAAAACAACAATACGATTTAGGGTGAATAATAAATGCAAACACTGTTTTTGATTGGTTATCATTGTAAGTAAATTTGAGCTCACTTGTCGAGTGACACAGCTTTTCTGTGATACTGCCAATCCTCACACATTACTGATACTTTGTGACATAAACCAGACATTTCCCAGTGTATTGACTGAATCAGATGCAGAGCTTTTCTTGAGAAATTGCTGCCGCTGGTGGTTTTAAATCAGGGCTCCTTCATCTATTAGCCTAATAAATCCACGTTTTGGCACTTGGTTATTTTCACTCGTACAGACAGGGGCGTATCCAGGGAGTGGCCTGGGGTGGCACATGCCACCCTTGGAATCTGATTGGCCACCCCAGGTGCCACCACACTAATTTACCTTTAAATAGGCTTTTCATTGTTCACAAAAGGCTTGGGGGTAAAACAACAAAAAGCATAACCATTGGTGCCACCCATGCACAAAGTTGTGCCTCACCTGGGCCACCCCATTGTAAAAGATCTGGACACGCCACTGCGTACAGAGGATTGAAACTTTGCTACGTTCTCCACGGTCTTTTAGAATGTGGCTGGTTTGCAGCAAATTTGGAAACCTCCTTTACTGTGAAGGCAATTGTGATGCTACTTGGCCCAAGCTACTAGTAAAAAAGGGTTTTCTCAGTTATTTTCTTGAGTTTTTTTAGTCTACCACTCGGACCCATGGTCACACTTCATTAGGCCTCATCCAGCTGCTAGAACGCCACACACGCTCATGATGGGGCCCTGACCAAAACCTCACAACAGAAATTTTTGTGAATTTCAAAGCCGTCGTGAGCCTATCACCTTCTATTAAAAGTTAACGATGGACCCACTGCTTTCTTAATACGCACCTGGAGATCTCAACAAGACTCTGCAATGACCATCGTTGTTTTGGTAGATTTTTTTGGCCCATAGGGAGACCTTCCTTCTGTGTAAAGAGAGCTTTAGTAGGGGTGTGTATTGCCAAGAATCTGGCATTATGATAAATATCACAATGCAGAGGAGACGATACGATATTTGCAATAATAAAAGCCAGATGATGTTTGCAAGTTGAATCAAACTGGAAAACTGAGGTGCTTGTAATATTCAGTGTTATCGCAAGATCTCGTTCCAGCAGAATGAAGGCGGTAAGAACTACTGCCACCTTGCAGTCGGAGTTTGAATTGTACCACAAAAAATGTAAATTCTCATTAAAAATAGATACTTGCATCTTAACCTTGACTCAGTATCATAACACAAAATATTGTGATATTTCAGTGTGTCAATATTTTCTGACATCCCTAGGCCTCGGGATGTTAATGTTTAGTTGTTCCGGTTTAGTCTTGCACGAATGAGCATTTCCGGACTACAATACATTTTTTTTCAATCTCACCCTCAAGAAACTCATTATTTCAGCTTTAAAAATTCCAAACACAAATAAATAATTAGATACTGAAATCAATCATGTTTATCCAATGGCTGCACTTTACTGTTCTGCATGTGCCAAACCTGGAGCGTCCCACAACCCAACGGTTAGCTGTGTAGCAACACTGATGACTTCCTGTGGCAGCTTCTCATACTTGCCACAAAATAAATCATAGCACGTTGCCATAGCAACACTTGTGCACAGTTGGTGCACATTCACTTTAATACTTGGGCTAATTCTCATGTTAAATTTCCTGCTTGTGCTGTTTTGCCAGAGATCGGCAGCGTTTCTGAAACAAAAACATCTAGTTAACACAAATTCAGATTTAGGGTTAGTCAAAAACAGCCTTTGCTCCATTTACCATGCAGGTTTTAGACTCTAGCTTGATCCCTTTAGCAGAAAGACTTGTGATTTCAGCCTGTTGAGTCAGACTATAGAAAATGATAGTCTTCCCCTGTGTGCCTGTCCCAACTTGTCCAGCTCTGTCCAGCTTTACTTTTACTGTGTACTCTTGTCTTAAATAACTTTTTAATATACTTTTTATTTCCCTCATGCTTGTCCATGTTCATGTGAGGTTAAAAACAAACGTACTCAAAATGTTTGTTTCTGACAAAGGTAACTTGTAGAGTTTGTGAAGAAGAACTGGATTTCTCTTTGTTTGTAGGCTTGTTCGCTTCACCTTTACCTCCCTGTGCCTGTTACTTACCGAATGATTTAGGGAAAACGTGTTTTACACTGTGTACCAAACGGATCTGAAGGGACAAGGAGATGTGTTCAAAAAATGTTGGATCTTTGAAGACTTCCTGTGCCTCGTCCCGCTGATCCAGTCCCCTCTCTGGTGCCTGAGCCGAGTCAGTCCAGCATTTATCAGTAGTAGTTTTCTTTAGATGAATGTGATGCAGCGTCTTTCTTTGTTCCAGCGTTTCATTTTTAGAGCTTTGTCCTGACAGATGAAGTAAGCTGCTGTCCTCCTGGACATGCAGTGCACATTATCAGTGAGAATGCCTTACTGTATAACCAAACCCACGTGTTCTCCGTCTGGTTATTTTATAACCGCTGCAGTGCTGTTCCCGTACCAAACGTACCTACATTAGATATACACAGAGACTGTAAACAAAAGAAAATATTGTATTTTGCAAATGGTGTATGTATTTTTTTTCCTTGTCAGCCTGATACCTTTAGAATGAGTCTGAGCTACTTAACCTTGTAACTGATTGTGTCATTTGTACCTAATGTATGATAATGCAAGTAAATAAAAGGAGAGATGAGGTCCACACCTAAGCTTTTGGTTTTAAATCGCATTAAGGAATGTTACACTAGTATCTGTTTTAATGTCATTGTCTCTTTGGTCAAGCTTTCTAAGGCCCACACACACACACACACACACGTAGCGAGGTTTTTATAAAACCCAATGTCCTCCCTCACCAATGTAGAAAAATAAGAACAGGTCCACACCACCTTTTACCAAAACAAAAAGTCCAGTGTGTTACGCTCAGCTGTTATATTAGAAAGTGGCACAAGCTTTATTCAGACATGCGTCACATGGAGCAAAATCAGGCATCCATCTCATTTCCCTTGTTCACTTCTTCTTCTCCTTCACTCACTTCTCTCGTCCCCTACTGTCCCCTAGTGGTAGACTCAACACAGTGCAGTAAGGAGCACATTTATAAGCATGCCAAGCCTGTAGGCAGCAGTAGTTTCAGAAACCGGTGTCTTTGCCGAAAAACAATCCTTCCACGTGGAATAACTAGGTGGCTCACAATAACCACCCCTGACATCGTTCTTAACCTGTGGTGTTCTAGAGCAGATGCTAACAACGAAGAATTAGCAAATTTTCACTTTGGACTTTTGAAACAACTGTTTTGATTAAACAGTATCTTCACTTTCATGTGGTTGACAAGCCAATCTGTAGAAAAAGATCTTCGTTTGGTGGAATACATTAGTACATTTATGGCATTAGTGAGCTACAATGACACTTGCTACTTTTTATTCATACATTCATAGATAGTAGACTAAATAATAAACAAAGAGTTTTAGATCTTTTGACGTCGGTTGCTTTGGAAATATAAAATACTACTAAAATTAATACACGTGCAGTAGATATGTAAGTGATGCAAACATGAAGAATTATTTGGGATTATGAAATTCTAATCATTTTCTTTTGCATCAAATTAAAGATTAGTTCAACAGATACATTTAAAAGCACACACATTCGTCCATGTTTTTGAATGCTTTCCAAAGTGTTTCTGCCTGGCTGAGAAGTTGGCTACACCCTGGACAGTGGCCTGGTCTATCAGGGTCACTAAAAAACACATTTTATTATTTATTTTCAGAATCACAAATCAGAGGCACATACATGTTTTTTCTCTGGAATAAAACCAGAGTACTGAGAAAAAAATGCAACGGTAAAACGTGCAGATTCCATTGGGAAACAGGACCTACCAATCAACTGCCACACATCTATATTTATTGCATCAAGACTGTTACTGTGATTCTATTTTTGAACCCTTATTTTTCTTTTTCCAGCCTATGAAAAGGATTGTTTAAACTTGGAACTGTGCCTTTTTAAAGAAAAACATTTAGATGAGCAATAGAACTGATGCGTTGGCAGATAAGACTCATTACATGCAGAGAGGTTTCAAAGAGACAAAAACAGATAAATCTGGTTTTTGCCATTATTTCCTATTGATCATAGAAACTTTTCCTCTAATTTTCTTTCACCTTGATGTCTACAGCATTTTAGAGACTCTTCTGTCTTCTTAATAACTAAATTTATACTCAGATATTTCACACGTCACCTGATGGGTTTCATCGATCATGTTTCCACAAACGAGCACACTTAATTACAGATCATCTCTGAAAGACGGCCAATTACATGACGGCTGCACAGTGAGAAATGATTGGTTGGGTTTTATAAGAGAACGGGAGGATGAAGCAAATCTTTTATGATTTATGTTTATTGTATGAAACAGAACAAAAATACATGATTGAAGCCTAAAATAAGTTTATCTTATCTTACCCTGTAAGGTGTGGTCTTAAGTTTTTGATTTCTCAAATTCATTTTGGTGATATTAAGTGTTTTCCTTTGTTACAGATGTTACTTTTTCCTATCTTTTGTTCCCTTTTAATCATACCTAGTATTTCAGATTTCATGCTCAAATCAGCAAAATAGCAACCATGGAGAATCTCCTCTGACCAAAAACATCAAAAAGGCTCATCTCTCATTTAATTATTTATTTAGATAGTTTGTATACTGAAAAGACAAAAATACATATTTTTTAAAGATTTAAATCATCACTTCACTTCAGAAAAAAACCCAACCAACCATCAAACATGGTGGTGGTAGTTTGATGGTCTAGAGCTGGTTGAAACATTTCAGAGCAATGAAGCATTCATATAAGATTAAAATATTACTGTTGGCACTATGGAGACGTCATTTGTTCTGAAATAGGTTATTTTCTTGAGACATTTTATCAACCAGGAAATAAAACACTTGGATTTGTTGAAAAACGGCCCCCACCAGTGTGAGTTCCACCCAATGATGAATGATAAATGACCCGCACTTGTATAGCGCCTCTCAGAGAAAGGACTCCAAAGCGCTTTACACTACAGTGTATCATTCATCCATTCACACACACATTCACACACTGATGGTGATGAGCTACGATGTAGCCACAGCTGCCCTGGAGCGCACTGACAGAGGCGAGACTGCCGAGCACAGGCGCCGCTGGTCCCTCCGACCGCCACCAGCAGACAAGGTGAGTTAAGTGTCTTGCCCAAGGACACAACAGCAGAATTCTCTGTCCGGAGCAGGGATCGGACCTGCAACCTTCTGATTACTGGACAACCCGCTCTACCTGTTGAGCTACTGTTGCCCCCAGTTCATGACATAGTCCTAGCTCCCCAGTAAAGCATCATGAACCATGAAGAAGAAGACGAAGAAGAAAGTGATGATCCTGCCATCAGGAGCACTGGGACATTACCCGGTGGTCTGGCCACCAAACTGGCCCACTTGGTTGTTGCTGACCATTTCTGGTGATTAAGCTCTTCTTCAGGAAGACTGAACAGATTCCTGTACCTCTCGCAGAGAAAAAGTTTCATGTTCTAAACATTGTCAAAGAGTAAGCTAGATAAGAAAGAAATCACGTCTTCGCAACACCTCGCTTACAACTTGGTGAGAGTGGGGGTTAGTGTTTACAGTCCAGGGGAAAGGGTTCTGGATTCAACACTACATGGATGAGGAGGAATGGTGCATGATGATGTAACACTGTTCTATCCAGCTGTAGGCGATATAGCTTTGTAGACCTGCTGAGGGTCTGCAGCTCAGAGAAGAATGCAAGTGTGGAGCCAAAACCCGCTTTGAGGTGTTTCCATGGTGAAATATTGGTCAAAAGCTCCAAAAAGTGGATTTTGAAGGGGAAATTTAATTACTGGACCAGGTTGGTTTAAAAATGTTTATTAAATTTAATCAGTTCAATCATTTTAATATTTTCTTTGGTTATATTTGTGTCACATTGAATTTAGTTTGCTGAGGAAATCAGTGACAGGGTTGATTCTTTTTGCCATAAAGATTTCGGTAAACTCTTAAATCTTGCTGGATGAATGCCAACGGAGAGTACCTTAAAATGTTTTTTTTCATGATGTTATTTACATATTGTGGGATAACAAAGATTACTTTCTTGACATAAAAATGTTGATAGTTATTTGGACCTAGAAACTGTTTTCCTATATTGTACTGTAATTTATTTTTCAATAACAGCTAAACCATGCAGATTATCAGGAATCAGGACAGTCAGTCATGTTGGAAATAATAAAGGAACAAACTCTTTTATTGATCATCTCCAAGTGGCAGGACAGCAATTTAACTAATTAAACTGGGTGTAAGAGAAGAACCACTCATTTTTGCACCATATTCATATTGTAATCTCAAGAAACCAAGCATAAAAGATAAAGATGAAAAAAACACATGGTAATCCTGAGATAAAGAAAAATAACTTGTCTTTAGAACAATGCTTCAAAATTAATAACAGCAGGATATTCTTGGCTTCATTTGATCTTGATTAGGACTCAAAATTGATTCCTGTTTGTCAATTTCTAAAAATATTTATTTATCTAGCCTTGTGTTCATGACTCAGATCCAGTTACTCCAGTTAGTGACACTTTGCTTCACCCTCACAATAAATTTTTTTTTTCCTCTGCAGCGCTGAGCAGCTTTTATTAGCAAACTGTCAGGAGGCTCTATGATCCTTCCTCAGTAACTGATGTCTTACAAACCATGCAGGTGATGGTGAAGGAAACCGCGGCCCAGTCTGACATTTACTGTTTTGGACACCAATTACTGAACCCCCAAATATAGTGCACTGCACTGGTCAGCAACCAGCTCAAACTTTCATGAGGGAGCTCATAAAAACTTGGTCAGTCATTGTTTCTTCTGCAGGAGTTTAACTCTTACAGCTGAAAGTTGGACGTTCTGTTGTCATGGAGGGAAACAGAAGAGGTGAGAATGTGTGAAAAATGCACTTCTGAGGAAAAATCAGGGAGGCTGGGATGGAAATTTGGGCCACATTGCTATCCAATCAGGTCAATGTGCAGTTTTGTGAAATGCTTAGTCAGATCCAAGCTGATGACGGGTTCCTGCTGATGATGAGTTGATGTTAGTCAGACACTTGCAAGAGATCAGGTGCTATTTACATCTCCCTCCATTTTCCTTAGCTATAACAGAAGGCGTTATTTATTTATTGTGTGACACTCTTTATCTCAACACAAATCATTTTCATAAAGGAGGGTGGTGTCGTAAACAAAAATAAACAAGGAAATAAAGCAAACGAGCAGGAGATTTGTTTTGTTGCACACCAAACCTCTCATCTGTTTGATAAATGATGCTACTGCCCTGACAATGGGAGTTTAATATTACATTAATTTATTTTAGCATTAAGGATTTATAATCCTAATGAATAAAGCACGTGGGTTTATTTTCGTTTGAATGTTTAGATATTTTATGAGCTCCAGTCTGATGATGTTTACTAAAATAACTCGTGCCGTCATCCTCACTCACGTCGCGCTCCTCCACTCACCTGGGGTTGGGAAGAGCGCGGAGCTGAGCTCCACGTGCGTCTCCGCGCGCTCGCTCACTACTGCACCAGCTCCACAGCAGCCGCCAGTTCGGTTCTGTTCTGTTCTGACTCGCATCAAAATCCGGGAAAACAAGAGGGGAGATAAACGCGGAGTTGTTGTCAACGAGTCTTCTCTAAGAAGGTAAACAAATTCATTTGTTTT